CAGAGTGTTTCTTGCTAACGTCTTGCTGGGTGCTTGTATGCTTTGTACAACCTTCTTTTGTAGATGCCAATGTTGGGTGGTTGTACTCATGGCAAATGTTGTGGTATGTTTGTCTCATCATGGCGACTGGCAAATACCTATGTGAGGAGAGTGTCATGTTTCAGCCTATCACATATCTTGTCCTACAAAAATATATACTGTATGTATAATATTTTATTTGAATTCCACATTTCAACAACAGCTGAAAGTTAGGTTTGGAGTAACATATGCATCATGTTATTATATGGGGCGTTATTGTTGTATAGCTTAGCTTCTAGGCCTACAGTATATCAATAATAATCTTATTGTTACAAGAATTGGTGTTGGCTCTGATGATATACTGTAGTGTTATAGCACATCACATTTATTTAGACAGTGCATTTTTTAGACATTTAGGCCTAAGCCTAGACAGTTTTTCATAGGACCAGGCCTATAGTATACTATTATTAGTAGGCCTAGGGGCCTAGGTCTATTATTATGAAAAAAAAAATGCACTAGCACAATTAATGTGACAAAGATGGCATGGCATGACAAGTCTAGGCTAGGCTAGTAGTAGAAACCTACTATCTTTACCGTCAGCTGGATAAGGCTGCGTGCAAACTCGCCTGCTGCGGGACTGGAGCAGTGTCCCGGACAGGAGTGCGCTACTGCTGCTGGGTAGACACTGACTGTGCTAATCCTAGGCATAGGTGTAGGCCTAATTATTAACAAACAATTAAGTCAAGTCATCGAACTGATATACGTTTATTAATTCAATTGAATTATTCCTCCATGGTTGAATTGACGTTGACTAAACCGTCTCTCTGTAACTGCGTACGTAAACGATCACAAAAACTCACGACTTCACACTAATGTACTGTATCTTGGCAGACTTGTCTTGAATATTAATGAGTTGGTTAGAAAATGCTACCAAGCTACTGAAAAAAGTGATCAGCCTCGTTTTCACCTGATTTTCCTGCCACATCATATCATGTTTTGTTTCTGTAATTATTCTTACATCTCAACATTTTGAATTTTTAAAGTATTTTTCCCGAACTCAGGAAAGGTTAAATAAGCAATATATGGCCACTTGTCTCATCCCCGCACCCCCCCCTTTAAAGCAGCTTGTATATGGTAATTTATGATTTTACAATTCACCTCTAATAAACGACATCCCCTTTTGAAAGGGCGTTTATTAGAGACAGTACGGGTATGTGTATGTATGTGTTGGGATTAGAACGTCTGGTAGATTAGGGTGAAAGTGTAAAGAGGGCAATGTGAGCCAAAGTAGTACGAAATAATATCGACCCATGTCCATAATCAGTGTTGTCTCAAAGGATGTGAAACTGTCATTCATTACCAGTTAATTAAAATATTTGTGTATCACTGTGGTATGGATCACAAGAAGTAAAATTGGAATCCAAAGTGTTTCATCTGAAGAGAGCGTTGATAGGTGCATCATACGTATACTTTGAGCATGACGGGTATGGCTGTGTTGCTATTGTGGTTATGTGTCATATTTCTAGATTGATTTTAGTTGCTTCTGAGCCTTATTTTCTAATAATTTACATTTTTTTTACAGGCTTAGCTTTCCATCTAGCATAGAGGATCTTCACAATCTCTCTCATATACTGCAGGAGTATAAGAAAGACCATGCTCATTATATAATGTTATTGTTCTGTTCAGCATACATTTACAAGCAAACATTTGCCATTCCAGGCTCTGTATTCATGGTAAGATCATGTAGTCAGTGTAATACAAATATGTATGCCCAGTAGACAAACCAAATTGACCAAATCAGACTATATCCAACTCGGAATAAACCTTTCTCTGACTAATCAACTCCAACCAAAACCAATTTGTCTCGGTAGACAACTCAGAGCAGCAGAATTAACCTTTTAATTAACTTTCCTCAACATATAAAATATAGGGTTTTAATATGATTCAGCTTCTGTTGTGGGAAAAGCCAAACATAAATAGCCTATTCGTCAATACCACATTTATGTAGGTTCTTTTTTAAAATTTAAAAACACTAAGTTTGTCTCCAAATTGCTGATCATTGACATTAAAGTCTATTGGCACTGAAAATATGTAACACCAACATTTTTAATTAGAAGTATAAAAAAGAATCCAAATCAATAATTTTAATATCATTCTAAATGAATTTGTTCAAAGATTTGTTCCACATTGAAAGAAACAAAAATAACTGCAATTTATTATAATATTGCTCTTAGACAACAATTGTAAAAGTCAAAATTGGTTTTGGATTGGGCAAAGTTGAGGTTAGTCTAATGTCTAACTAATGCTTGAGACAATGACAAAAGTTGGCTAAATATATCTGTTTCTCTGCTTTATTTCAGAATATTCTTGGAGGTTCTTTATTTGGATTATGGGTAGCATTTCCATTGTGCTGTCTTTTAACTGCTATAGGAGCCACTTTCTGTTATCTGTTGTCCCTCAGCTTTGGTCGTACTGTTATCATGCAATACTTTTCAGACAAGATTCTAGCAATGGAGAAGAAAGTAATGTCAATACAGCTGTACACATATTCCTTTTATACACATTTATACTGCAAATTTAGGATTTAGAAAAAAAACCAAGACTTGAACAATTTTGGTAATCTTAAGTCAGGCATTTCCACTATTAAGTTAGACCAGGAAACCAACTCAATTGCATCATTAGGAGAAGCTGATGATGTTTATGCCTATGTAGACTACACACAGTTTCTAATTCATAATACACAAAAGCTGATACAAAGACAATCCTAGCACTGCAGCAGAAACCTATTGTAGACCAGCATCAAGACAAACACCCCCCCCCCCTTGTCGACCACCCCTACCTTACAATGATATAATCCATTGTTGGGTGGCTTTGGACAGGGGTGGCTTTGGACACGGGTGGCTTTATTCCGATTTCTGGTTGGAATAGTGGATATAATTTTTCATTTGTTTGTATATCAAATCACAAATTATTATTACTTGTATTTTTTAGGTCCAGGAGAACCTACAAAGCCTGTTTTTCTTCCTATTATTTTTGAGGCTTTTTCCGATGTCACCAAACTGGTTTCTAAATGTTAGCTCGCCTATCGTTGGAGTTCCAATTAGCTACTTCTTTTCCTCAGTATTCATAGGTGAGTCACTTGAATTTGTTAGGTTTAAATTAAAATGTTTTTTATTGTAATTAGCTTTTTACCCTCTGATGCTAGAAATAGGATTCTTAACAGAAATTTAAAATTTACCTAATAATACTGTTCTGGCTACACTTGGTGTTTTGTCTTTATATACTAATATCCCTCATGAAGAAGGTGTTAATACGTGCATTTAAAATTACAAGCAAATTCGGGGAAAAACCCCCATCTAAATCACATCTCTGTGAACTTATCATGCTGATTTTGACCAATAATAACTTTGTTTTCGGCGACGGTCATTACCTTCAAATTCATGGCACAGCGATGGGCACCAAAATGGCTCCATCTTTTGCTAACTTATTTATGGGACAATTTGAGGCCAATTTCCTGTCCCTACAGCCCAAAAAACCAGATGTTTGGTTTCGTTACATTGATGATATCTTCATGATCTGGACCCATGGTGAAGATAGTTTGGATACGTTCCTATTGAACATTAATTCGGCTCATCCCACAATCAAATTCACTGCTAACAAATCCACAAGCAGTGTAGATTTTTTGGACATCACCGTGACCATG